GAGCTGCCCCACTGCCTGCTGCACCCAGGCATGGCCAGACACGTGCTTCTGACATGTTTCACTGTTGGCCCTGGCACCCTGCAAAGCGGCCTCCAGTGGGACCCAAGCAGGGGATGCCACCTTTTCCTTGGGTGGTTATGTAGTTGCTGGAGTATTGAGGGGGATGAAAATTTTGGTTTTGGTTTTGGTTTTTTTTTTATACGGAGTTTCACTCTTGGTGCTCAGGCCGAAGTGCAATGGTGCGATCTCAGCTCACGGCAACCTCCACCTCTCAGGTTCAAGTGATTCTCCTGCCTCAGCCTCCCAAGTAGCTGGGATTACAGGTGTCCACCACCACATCCAGCTAATTTTTCTATTTTTAGTAGAGACAAGGTTTCACCATGTTGGCCAGGCTGGTCTCGAACTCCAGACCTCAGGTGATCCACCTGCCTTGGCCTCACAAAGTGCTGGGATTATAGGCATGAGCCACCGTGCCTGGTTGGATGTAAGGTATTGAGTACTAGGGGCTAGGAGGGACCAAGAGAAGGAGGAAGAGACTTTTCAGTTCTTCTTGTCAGCTAAGCCAGGGGGACAGGCCTAGGCCTTGCACCATGAAAGTGGGAGAGAAGTGATAAAAAGATTCATCTGATGTCACAGATGTCACAGGCCTGCTTCTTGCAAAGCGCCTCCTGCAGGATGGGGTCTGCATGGGGCTTTGCCGAGTAACCCCCATCCGGGCCCTATCCCCTTCCCTCATGCCCCTGTGACCTCTGGCACCATGACCTTCTCCCACCTCCTGGCTCTGGGAAGCTCCAAGCCTCCCTCACATGCCCGCTCACCTGCCTGCTAGGTTTCCAAGGCTAAACAGAGGCGCAGCTATCTGGGCAGGGCAAGGGGGCAAACGGCCTGCCTGGGTTTCCTGTCTGAGTATCCAGCTTTGCTTCTTCCTTTTAGGGCAGCATCAGAAAGGATCTCAAGAATGCTGTGTTGTTCTGGGGATGAGGAGGCTAGAAGAGCAACTTAAAAATAAGTCCCTCCCCTGGAAAGGAGGGAAGGAGAAGGTTCAGAGGGTTGTCATTTAGGCACCCCAACTTGTAACCCTTACCAAGGTGCCAGGCCCAGAAGGTAGAGGGTAGCGAGGGCAACTCCCCCACCCACACCTGCCTCTTCACCCCTCTCCTATTTCACAAGCACTTACCGTGCATCGGATACGTTCCTCACAGCACCTCTATGCAGCAGGGACTGCCCTTTTCATGCTGCAGGTGAGCAAACACCTAATGAAAAGCTTGTCATGTATACAAGGTTGCACAGCATGGTAGAGACACAGGACGAACTAGAGCTCAGGAGTTCCGGCCCCAGCTCCTTCTGCCTCCCTCACATCATCAGCCCAGACTACCTGAGAGCAGAGAGGGCAGAAAGTCAACACCCTGTACTCTGAAAACTCAGTGCTGGTTCTCACCCTCTCAGTGGGGCAGGTGGCCTCACCCGCCACCGTGGGCTAAACAGGGTGCATGGAGGACATGGCCCCACTGGCCACTCTACACAGCTTGTCTGTGCCAAAAGTGCCATTCTAGATGCAGGTCCCAACTTCGGGGAGCTTGCATTCCGGGAAGGGAGACAGCCAGAGAGCCCTATCATAGATGCTAGGTTGGGGGTCCCCGGGACGCACCAAGAGGCTCAAATGACCTGGACCTAGGAGGGGTGGCTAGAGGCTTCTGCTGGAGGAACCTTAGGTCAGTTATTTAACCTGTCTCAACCTCAGTTTCCTCACCTGTTAAATGGGCTAGCTGCTGTCTCACAGGGCTTTGCTGAGGTTTTGATGAGGAGTGCAAGTGCTTACCTGGCCCAGAGAAATATGTACTCAGGAAACTTCAGCTGCCTATGCCATTGGTTGGCACTCCCAACCAGAGTGCAAGCCCCGTGAGGGCACAGGCCATGCCTGCTTGTTCACCACCATATTCCCAGTGCCTAGGCCAGAGGCCAGCACACAGTAAGTGCTCAGAAAATATTCAGTGAATAAGTTCATGAGAAAAGGCCCAGGAGGATTAGAAAGAGGCAGGAGTATTCCAGTTAGGAGTAGACTCTCCTAGGCCAGGCATGGTGGCTCACGCCTGTAATTCCAGCACTTTGGGAGGCTGAGGCAAGCAGATCACCTGAGGTCAGGAGTTTGAGACCAATTTGGCCAACATGGTGACACCCCATCTCTACCAAAAAAATACAAAAATTAGCTGGGAGTGGTGGCACATGCCTGTAATCCCAACTACTCAGGAGGCTGAGGCACGAGAATCGCTTGAACCCCGGAGACAGAGGTTTCAGTGAGCTGAGATTGCACCATTGCACTCCAGCCTGGGTTGCAGAGTGAGACTCCGTCTCAAAAAAAAAAAAAAACAAAAAAACAAAAAACGGTGGCGTGGGGATAGACTCTCCTTTCTGTGCCTTTCTCTAACTACTCACACTAGGAGGCCCCCGCACCTCCCTCTGCCCCACGTGAACCTGTGGGCCCCACCCCAGCTGCCAGAGTGCCCACCTGCTCACCCACATTTGGAACCCTGACCTCACTGCTTTCCCCAGAGGACACACTTTTCTGGCTGTCCCTGAAGCCACTTTATTAAATGATGGAAATGCAGCCCCCAGAGCCTCCTTCCTGCCCTCCCACTCCCCTACATCAACATCAGCCCCTTCCCTTGGGGAAAAAAATGCATCTTTTCCAGAAAGAGGGACAGGCAGTAGCAGTGAGCAAGGGTGGCCCTGGGTGCCCTGTACAAGGTCACAGTAAGATGTTTCCAAACCCCAAGCTGGAGCAGGTTGTCCCCTGTGCATGACCTTCTGGAGAAAATAGATGGACTTTCAGAAGTGGGGGCTGTGCAGGAATATGGGGTCCTGGTGCAGAACAGGGTGTGTGTGGATGCTGCCGCTGGTGGTGAGGATGAATGAAAGAAACGGTGATTCAGGCTCCAGGGGCAATGCTGTGTTCGCTCCAGCCATAAACAACTTTTTAGCCAAGTGCAGTGGCACACCTGCAGTCCCAGCTACTCCAGAGGCTGAGAAAGGAGGATTGCTTGAGCCTAGGAGTTTGAGGCCAGCCTGGGCAACAGAGCAAGACCCTGTTTCTAAATAATAATAATAATACGTACTATTTCAGTTGAGGGTCAGTTTTTCCTTTATCCATCTGCTGTTCAGCAACTGTGTATCTCTTGCCTGGCCCAGAATTGAGAGATAATCAGAGGCTCAGACAAACTCCCTGTCCCCGCTGAAGGGATGTTCAGGGTTGAACAATTGTTGCTTTATGGCTTTATGACAAAGTCCCAGGTGCTCATGATCATCTTTGTACAGTGGTGGGGCTGTAGGGAGCCCTAACATAGCCTGGGGGAGGCTGCCTAGAAAGTGGAGACCCGAAGGCTGAGGCCACATTAAGGATTTAGGTAGAATTCATGCACTATGATATTTTTTTTCTTTTCATTCTCTCTCTCTCTCTCTCTCTTTCTCCCTTTCTTTCTTTCTTTTTCTTTTTCTTTTTTTTTTGACAGAGTTTTGCTCTTGTTGCCCAGGCTGGAGTGCAATGGCGCAATCTTGGCTCACTGCAACCTTTGCCTCCCGGTTTAAGTGAGTCTCCTGCCTCAGCCTCCTGAGTATCGGGGATTACAGGCCCCTGACATCACGCCCAGCTAATTTTGTATTTTTAGTAAAGACGGGGTTTCTCCATGTTGGTCAGGCTGGTCTCAAACTCTCGACCTCAGGTGACCTGCCCACCTTGGCCTCCCAAAGTGCTGGGATTACAGGCATGAACCACCACACCCGGCCAACGTTATTTTTCTTAAGTTAATTTTTTACAGTTTACACATGCACATGGTAAAATGTGTACTGATGCACAGTGTTACATAGCAAACATAAGACTCAGTCCACCTTCTCTCTCCACCTACCCGTCCCCCTTCTAGAGGCAGCCATTGTTACCAGTCCTTGTGTTTTCCTGCAGCCAGAGTCCATTTGTATCCCACATCTATATTTTTTTCCTGGCATTTTTTTTTTCCAAACGGGATCTTGCTACATTGGAGGTTCTCCACCTGGGATGATTTGGCATCCCCACCTTCCCACCCCAGGAGACACCTAACAATGCCCGGAGATATTTTGATTGTTACAGATGATCAGTGGGGGCCAGGTGCAGTAGCTCGTGCCTATAATCCCAACATTTTGGGAAACCGAGGCAGGTGGATTGCTTGAACTCAGGAGTTCAAGACCAGGCTGGGCAACATGATGAGACCCCATCTCTACAGAAAATTGTAAGTTAGCTGGGTGTGGTGGCGTGCACTTGTGCTGACTCAGGAGGCTGAGGTGGAAGAATCCATTGAGCCTGGGAGGTTGAGGCTGCAGTAAACTATGATCGTGCCACTGCACTCCAGCCTGGGCAACACAGTGAGACCCTGTCTCAAAGACAAACAACCCAAATTGGCGATTACTGGGTAGAGGCCAAAGATACAATGCACAGGACAATCCCCACTTACATGGTCGAAAATGTCAACAGTGCTGAGGTTGGGAAGTCCAGTCCTGCATAAGAACAGGGTCTACACCGTGTGTGTGTGTGTGTGTGTGTGTGTGTGTGTGTGTGTGTGTGTTCTCATATATATTCCACATCATTCACATTTGTACATCCACCTCATTATTCTTTGTAGCCACAAAAATCCATTACCTGGATGTTCCACCATTTTCATTCAGGTGTTTGCACTCTTTTTGCCATCATAAACATTTATGCTACAAAGGCTATTCTTTTCCATACACATGCCTTTGCTGTGTGAGGTCAAGGGAGAAGCTGATGGAGGTGGGATGGATGAACCTAATGATTCATTAGCATTTTAAGTGACCTATGAAAGAGACCTTCAGTCTCTCTCGGGCACAGCCTGTCTGGAGAGTGGATCTGGGGTCCTGGCTGCTAACCAGGGCCGAGATCCTCAAAAGTCTGGTGGAGAAACGTCCTCTGCGTTCCTCGTGTACAGACAAGGGTGTTCTTACCACCTATCTCTCCGCAGGACGAGGGTGTCCCCCACCTGAAGACGACAAGCCAGGTCCTGAGTGATGCCCCTGAGCTGAGTGTCCAAGGCCAGCCTGAGGTGCCCCCATGGCCCCGTCTTTCCCCATGGAGAAAGGACTGACTTTGCCCCAGGATTGTCGGGACTTTGTGCACAGCCTGAAGATGAGGAGCAAATATGCCCTTTTCTTGATTTTCGTGGTGATAGTTTTTGTCTTCATTGAAAAGGAAAATAAAATCATATCAAGGTGAGAGTTGCAAGCCCAAGTCTTCATCTTCCTTTCAAGGTGGAGTGGGTGGGGACAGAGAGGTACCTGCAGGGCTCTCTGTGGACCTGCAAATGCCTTCCTTCAACAAGCCATCCCCAGGCCCCTCCTGTGTCCCAGGCAGTGGGTCCTGCACATGTCCTCATGACTGTACAGGGGTGAGGCTTGGGCTCTGGACTCAGATAGCCTCGGTTGGAGTGCCTCGTGGTGGCTCTCTGCAACTGTGAAAGATTAGGCAAGATACTTCCCATATCTGAGTCTTCGTTTCCTCTTCTGTAAAATGTGGCTAATGATGGGACCAGCGTTGTTGTGAAGATTAATGAGAAAATGTAAAAGCATCTAGCCCAGTGTCTGGCACATAGTTGGTGTCCAGTATTTGCTGGCTGCGACTATTACTATTAAAGTACTTCCTGGCCTAGAGTGATGCCTTGCATTAGCAGCACATCCCCTGTAGAAGTCTTGATGTCATTGCGCCCATGGAAAGGCAAGGTCCTAGTACTTAGGTACTCTTGATGGGCAGGCCTGCCATGTGCAGCTGCCAGGTTGTGTACTGCTCAACTCCAGGGGCATGCCCCTCAAGTAGGCTACTCTGGGAATGCCCCCTTACCCCTTCGAATTGGCAGCATACAGCTATGTGCCCTGGGTCTGTTAGATGTAGAAAGATTGCTTAGCCTGTTCTCCTCCCAGGCACGAGCCCTGCCAGAAAGCATTAGCTAAGATGATCAGGGACTGATAGGGGTAGATCAGCGATTGGGTTGTAGAGTAGACACTGTCAATGCCCCATTTGGGTCACTGAGCAAGGACTGTTCCAGCGCACACCTGTTGGGTTCTACTGCAAGCCCCTACAGCTCTGCACCTGAGGGCTTCCTCTCCATCTGCACACTGGCAAGCTGGAAGCGCCAGGGAGTAAATGTCCCCCAGGTCATCAGACTGAGCATCCAATGCCCACACCTGCTCCTAGCAGCACATCCTTACACGGACACCTTTCCTCCCCTGTCTCACGTCCCCACCCAGTTCTTCCTGCCATCATGTCCCAAATAAACGACTGAAACACAAATCCTTGCCTCAAACTCTGCTTTTGAGGAAACCCAACAGAGACAGGCTTTGGTGATCTACTTGGAGGACTGCTTAGGGTTGCCCAGGAGGCGGGGTCCCCAGTCAGCCACTGACCCTGGTCTTCTTTTGTCCTCACAGGGTCTCAGACAGGCTGAAGCAGATCCCCCAAGCCCTGGCAGATGCCAACAGCACGGACCCAGCCCTGGTCTTGGCTGAGAACGCGTCTCTCTTGTCCCTGAGCGAGCTAGATTCAGCCTTCTCCCAGCTAAAGAGCCGTCTCCACAACCTCAGCCTGCAGCTGGGCGTGGAGCCAGCAGCGAAGGCCGCTGGGGAGGAAGAGGAGGAGGGAGAAGAGCAGGAGGAGCCGCCCAGACCGGCCGCGGAGGGGCCCCGGCGCCACGTGCTGCTCATGGCCACCACGCGCACCGGCTCCTCGTTCGTGGGCGAGTTCTTCAACCAGCAGGGCAACATCTTCTACCTCTTCGAGCCGCTGTGGCACATCGAGCGCACGGTGTCCTTCGAGCCGGGGGGCGCCAACGCCGCGGGCTCGGCTCTGGTGTACCGCGACGTGCTCAAGCAGCTCTTCCTGTGCGACCTGTACGTGCTGGAGCCCTTCATCACGCCGCTGCCCGAGGACCACCTGACCCAGTTCATGTTCCGCCGCGGCTCCAGCCGCTCCCTGTGCGAGGACCCCGTCTGCACGCCCTTCGTCAAGAAGGTCTTCGAGAAGTACCACTGCAAGAACCGCCGCTGCGGCCCCCTCAACGTGACGCTGGCCGCCGAGGCCTGCCGCCGCAAGGACCACATGGCCCTCAAGGCCGTGCGCATGAGGCAGCTGGAGTTCCTGCAGCCGCTGGCCGAGGACCCCCGCCTGGACCTGCGCGTCATCCAGCTTGTGCGCGACCCCCGCGCCGTGCTGGCCTCGCGCATGGTGGCCTTCGCCGGCAAGTACAAGACCTGGAAGAAGTGGCTGGACGACGAGGGCCAGGACCAGCTGAGGGAGGAGGAGGTGCAGCGGCTGCGGGGCAACTGCGAGAGCATCCGCCTGTCCGCCGAGCTGGGGCTGCGGCAGCCCGCCTGGCTGCGGGGCCGCTACATGCTGGTGCGCTACGAGGACGTGGCGCGCAGGCCGCTGCAGAAGGCCCGCGAGATGTACCACTTCGCCGGCATCCCCCTGACCCCGCAGGTGGAGGACTGGATCCAGAAGAACACGCAGGCGGCCCACGACGGCAGCGGCATCTACTCCACCCAGAAGAACTCCTCGGAGCAGTTCGAGAAGTGGCGCTTCAGCATGCCCTTCAAGCTGGCCCAGGTGGTGCAGGCTGCCTGCGGCACCGCCATGCGCCTCTTCGGCTACAAACTGGCGGACGACGCCGCCGCCCTCACCAACCGCTCGCTCAGCCTGCTGGAGGAGCGGGGCACCTTCTGGGTCACGTAGGGGGGGCCGGGGCCCGGTGTGCCCCTCCTGGTGAAAGGCCTGCCCCGCCTTTCTGCCGCAGCCCTCGCAGAGGGCGGGTGCGCAGCGTGGTGAGCGGGCGGCGTCTCCTATAGTAGTAGGGCCCCCAGCCAGCGCTCCCACCGCAGCGGCGGCCCCAGGGTTAATCGTGGAGAACATGACAGTGCCCCGACCCCTTGAGGGCCATCTCACCCAGATCCAAGGGGCTGCAGCCTCCTGAACAGGCCCAGGCAGGCCCGGGCCTGTTGGCAAGCTTCAATCTCACACACACAGAAACACATTCGTGCCTGGAGACCCTGCAGGTCAGAGTCTAAATATTTAATAACCAGAAGGAGCAAGGCTCTGACCAGTGATAGTCAGACCTCCTGCTTTATTTGATGTTAACTGTTTCTTGTCTGGATGGTGAAGTCTGAAATCTGGGTGGATCCTTGGAAGAGGGGCTGGGACAGCCCAGGGTGTCAAAGGTGGCATTTGAAGCTCATTTGAGGTGACAGTGGCTGTTTACCAACCAGTACAGAGCGAGTCAGCATTTTCATGAATGGGGTGGCTGTGCTGGCTACTGATGAATCAGGTCCCCGTATAGAGCTGCAAAGCACACACATGCGTATAGACACACATGCGTGTATACCACACGCGGACAGGCATCATAAAGGCACAATGCACACACATCTATGCAGACAAGCTTCCTTGCTGCTTATGCTCACAGGGTTTTTCTGTATCACACGCCTCAGAGGAGCCTGTGATTGCATTTGTAGGATTATTTGGAAGGCAGGGCAGGGGAAGGAAACACGTTAAAGGACCATGTTGTGACACGGTTCCCAGCTAGGTTTGGTACTGAACGGTGGATTCAGAACTGCAGCGTTCAAAGCCCCTGCCCGCCTTAGATTCTCGTGGCTACCTCCTCTGACCCATCCACATCCTCGAGGCTGGCAGGCAGGATGTTTTGAAATGGTGCAGCCAAAGGCCCCTTCCAGCTTGGCTGGCTCCCGAACGTGTCCGTATTTGAAGGCTGCCTCAGGCCTGGCAGGCAGAAGCAGCTGTGGTCCCTGGAGGCAAAAGGCAGCTCACCGGGCCTTCCATTTCCAGCCAGGCCTCATGTGGGGCAGGGCCAAGAGGGAAGTACAGAGTGCCCTTGGGGGAGAAGTCCCGCCAGGATGCACCCCTCCCCTGAGAAGCCCGCCTCCTCCCTCGTGGACAGAGGTCGCCAGCTGGTCCCCATGGTTACAGCCAGTGCCTGGAATTCCTCCTTAGGGCTCTGGGACGAGTATTGCTCAACGCAGGATGTGCTGGGTGTTTCATTTGGGGTTTTTAAGTTATTTATGACTTGGTGTCTTTCTTGTTTGATGTTTTGCTTTTGTTTTGCCTCTCCCAAGCAGTGGAGGCCTGAGAGCCTGAGGGAGGCTGGGGAAAACCAGCAGGGAGCACTTGGCTCCTGGCAGAGGGAGAGGACAGGAGGAGGAGCCTTCCCAGGAGGATCGAGGAGAGGTGGGCACATGGCAGGCCACAGTGCCCTACGGGCTTTTCTGTTTGAACCCCATGTGGGATGAATCTCAAAGCCAACAGTGTTCTTGCCTCATGTCCAGAAGCAGCGGAGATTCACAGCCCTCGCCTCTCCCTGAGAAGAAGCTGGATTTGAAAATCCCTCCCACGCTCTAATATGTTTCCTGGGTGGGCAGGGGCTCAGGACCAAGCAGCAAGTGTACCCAGAGTAGAAGCCCATCCCCACTTCCACTGCAAACCCGGGAGCAGAACTCAGTATCCGGAGCTTGCAGGGGCTGCAGGGGTTTGCTGAAGGCTGCCCAGCTCTGTTTCTGGTTTCCTGGACAACTTCTATGTCAGATTATGCCCATTGTAAACCCAGAGGGCTACATTTCGGGTTGAGTAATACGGACACTGGGGAAGCATAGGATCTGAGTCCAGCATTGCTGTGGGGGAGGGAAGAGTGTGTCCTGGCAGGAAGCCACCATTTGAGAAGGAGAGGCTGGTATCCATCCCATGGGATTCGCTATAATCAGCTCGTTAGAGCTGCTGGGTCTCTGTCACTGTGGACTCCAGTCATTCAAGGAGGTCTCCACTCTTGGGTTTTTTTTTTTTTTCTTTTCTTTTGCTGTTTTGCCTGAACATCCCAATACTCTTGGTTTTAGAATCCAAGAGTAAGCTGTGCAGAGATATGCTTCTCATTTAGAGTTCAAAGGAACACCAGCTCTGAAAACGTGACCGTGGGGCCAGGATGTTTCTGGCAGGCCCAGAAGTGCTGGCCGTTCTTCCCCAGCCTCCTGCCTGCTCCTTCCTCTGTTCCCGGCATGGAGGTGGGGGGTGCTGGGACTGGGGAGGGGCAGCCACCTCCATCTGAGGCTCTTCCTTGGGGCCCTGCTAGTGTGGACAGCAGACTTTATCCCTCCTTCTTACTCTGGGCCAAAGCCTCCCACGCTGCTCTCTGACGATGGCACCAAGAATGGGCCTATGGGACTTCTCAGGACATTGACAACGTGCACACTGCAAGTTGACTTATTTATTTATTTTGTGAAAAGAAGAGACAGAAGATACCTTTTTATCTGCAGGGACTCAAAGCTATACCCAAATCAAGAAAGACAAAATAATAATAGAAATCATTCACACACTCCATTCACGCAAGGACACCAGAAGACGATTCAGAACACAAGAGGAGAACAAGCCCGAGCTTCAGCACCACAGTGGCCCCTGGACATTGTTTAAGATCTAAGATCATGGCCCAATGCCGTGGTTCACAGAGGGCAGATTGCCTCAGCTCAGGAGTTTGAGACCAGCCTGAGCCACACAGCGAATCCCCATCTCTACTAAAATACAAAAAAAAATTAGCCAGTTATGGCAGCGTGCGCCTGCAGTCCCAGCTACTCAGGAGGCTGAGGCAGGAGAATCACTTGAACCTCAGAGACGGAGGTTGCAGTGAGCTGAGATTGTGCCACTGCACTTCAGCCTGGGCAACAGAACAAGACTCCATCTCAAAAAAAAAGATCGGAGATCCCTTGGTTTCTCTCATGTTGATCTGAGATGCCACATCAGGGCCCTTTCTGCTTTATTATCTCTGCCTGGGTGAGTAAGTCACAACTTAAGTGGTGGGTGTTTCCTAGAAACATATCCCTTGGGGCTCAGTGATGCTCTGGGAACCCTCGGGGTTTGGGGAAGGACTGTGGTGTGACTATTGGCTTGACACGCTGTGGTTGTGGTTGGAGTCATCCACGTGGACACGGTTTTCAGCTTGGAGCTGGGATGGAGAAGGTGGAACCGCTGGGGGCCGGGCCTCCTTTTTCAGTGAGGCCAGCCCTGGTTTCTCTTCTGTTCCAGCTGCTCTGCCAGAAGCCTTCCCCTGCGAAGTACCCACCTGCCTGGAGACAGAGGGAGCAGCTGAGGCCTCTCTCCACCAGCCGGCAGCCTCCCCAGCACAGAGGACCATTCAGCAATGAGTGTCACTCATGTTCCTTCTTGTTGATGAGTTCTGCAGCCCAGCCTATAGCAATGGCTCAGAACCTTCCAGGCCTTGGTGAGATAGGGCAGTGTCCAATGCTCGCAGGCTGTCCCCACTCTGTCTCTTGCCATCTTCCCCTCAGGACCTGTTCATAAATTGGGGAATGGACGAGGGCCCTGGAGGGTGCTTGGGAGTAGTTAGTGGAGGGCAGGACTCCCAGATCCCCATAGAGAGGGCAAGAGAAGCGCAGATGTGCACAGAAACCCATCTCTGTCACATACACCCCAGCTGCTCACCGAGTTATTTTCCAAAAGCTGAGAAACATAAATCAAACTTAGGCTTTTGTCCCTCTTCAATATGTGCACTTGAAAATAACTAAACAAGCAAAAAAGAGACGGTAAATGACAAGTTTGCTTCCTGTTGGCTAGCACCCTCAGCCTGGGAGCTGCTGCCGGAGGCTGGCATATCGGGGCAGCTGCTGACCAAACCCCACAGAACAGAGGGCACCAGGCATCACATGACATCTGTCTCTGCCATCTATCTGGCAATGGAAGGAGCTCCAGACGGAGGTCCTTCCCAGAAGATTGATTCTTGGCCTGGGTGGTAGAGGAGATAGAAGCATCCAAAGGTCTGATCCTGACCCTAGAGTCCCGTAGCCCTGAGTCATCCTCTCCTATACTAGGGCCTGTTTTAATTGACCGTAGGGGCCCGGTGCAGTGGTTCACACCTGTAATCTTAGCATTTGGGGAGGCCAAGGTGAGGATTGCTCGAGCCCAGGAGTTGGAGACCAGCCTGGGTAACATGGGGAGACCAATTAACTGTTGGGCTTGTCCCTTGCTAGGACAGGAGCCGAAGACTGGATGGGTGTGTCCTCAAGGCAATCCCCTCTCACCCCCATTCCCAAAGTCTGAAAGCAAAACCAGATCTCAAAGGGCTGATTCCTGAGGCAAGGAGAGAGAATGGGGGCGTGGTGGGAGCAGACACCTGCCCAAGCCAACTGGGTCTTACTGATCTGTACAAGCTGATAGAAGGACCACCTGCTGGAATCCAGGGCTCCTGAGTTATTGGGTTTGCTTGTGAAGCTTCTAGGACAAGGCACAGCCAGATGGAAGGGAGGGTCCCGGGCTTCCTGAATGCAGCCACATCACCTCTCAACTTGCTGCAGTTTCAGAGATAGTGGAAGTTGCTCTGTACCTCAAAAGCACAAAGCAGAATTGGCAACTTCACGTCTCAGGAGCTTCAAGATCCTTTGGTCTCGTGTCCTTTGGCATCCCATAACTGTATGGGGGACAAATTTGTACATGTTTCCAAGGCTACAGACATGGTGCCCTCCTCATGGGCCTAGCTCAGGTATCTAGGTCAGGTACTTCGCTGGGGAAATGAAATGACCCACATGGTCTGCTTCCTCTGCCATTGGCTTGAACTGGGCACCCCCTGAATTCTCCATCTCAGCTGTATTTTCTGGTCCACGTTTGCCTGGCTCCCCCTGCTTCTGCCTGGGTCCTGCACACTGTCCTTTTGCCAACACCTCCGCCCTGTGTCCTGTTTTCATGTCTGCATGGTATGACACAACTTCATGGCATACATAGCCACAGTATGTACATATGCGCCCACGTGTGTGTGTGTGTGTGTGTGTGTGTATAGCCCATTCTGCTCAGCCTCTGGCACTGCTCCACATTGCCCCCAGCCCCACTGCTGTCACTGTTGTCCCAGATGTCCTTGCCGTGGCCACAGACAATCTGCCGTCTCCTGGAAGTGCTGGGGCTGCCCTTCAGAGAGCTGGCAGCCGCCAGCAGTCAGGGCCTGCTTCGCAGAATAGAATGTGAACCCCTCTTCTGATGGCCTACTTGACTTATTTAATTAAAAATGGAAACATACAACAAGCAAGAGCTGCAGCATGTCTCTGCCTTTTCCTTTGCATTTGTTCTCAGCAGCAACTGGGTCACAATTTTTTTTAATTATTATTTTTATTTATTTATTTATTTTTTTAGTTAACAGTGGTAGAAGGGAGGTGACTTCCAGCATGAAGCAGGACATGGAATTCCCCTGCCCATTCCCAAGGGACCAAAAGGCACTAGGGCACTATGAGACAGGATGACTGTTCCTTACATTACCAGGCTGGCAGAGCTGGTGGGGACTACGCTGGGCGGAGAGAGAGAAAACCCAGGTATTTGGGGGCAGACACAGGAGTGATGTGCCAGCAGTCAGGGGGGCTGGGCACAAGTCCCAGCTTTGCCACTGTCTGGCTGTGTGACCTTAGATAAGTCCCTTCCCTTACTTTGACAGAAGTTTCCTTTTAAAATGAAGGTATAATCAATTGTTCACAACCATTGTTCCCAAAAAGCCCCGTTAGGGATTCGAAAGTCAGCTGAAAGGGCAGGCGGCACCCTCTTAAGGAGAGCCACAGTGCATTTTGATATGCTCTATGTGTAGCGTTTTGATCTGCTTTGGGTAGCATTTTAGATTTATTTGGCCTTCAACTAAATCTCCAAAAGCACATGAGAAGATTGCCAAGGACCCTTTCAGCTAAGAAATTGAAGGGAGTCCCAGAGATACTAAAAAAAAGAACAAAAAGAAGAAAACAAAAAGGAAAAATAAAAAGAAATGGAAGGGAGTCCTTTCAAATTGCAGTTACATCCGTCATAACAACTTCAGTTCTTGTTAGATTTCAGCGGTGCTTGTCTTCCAAGAGCTGCCTATAGGGCATGGCCATTTCCCCGGAGAGGAAGGAGAGTTAGTTTTGAACACAGAAGCCAGAGCTGGCGGGCCTTTGTAGGTCTCGGGACACGGTGGGAGCAGGACCAGCAGCTGCAGGAAGAGGCAGAGGAGGGCTGAGTACAGGGACAGTGGCTCCTGGAGTGAGAGAGTAAAGACTCAGAGAGGCTCAGTGTGAGGAAACAGGCCCCCTCCCCAGATCTCAAACCTGTGTCTCTGCCGCTTCACCCAGTCCAGGTCTGGGAAGCTCAAGCCATCTCCCTCCTGCCCCTGAAAGTATCTGAGCCGGTGCCTGTCATCCCAACCTGAACAGAAACTGCCACCCCCCAGTCAGGTCCTATTGCTGTCTCCCGGCACTGGGGGCTGGCTATAGTTAGTTTAATTTCTAGGCTGTGTTTCCTACCACAAATGACCCCCTGGGGAAACAAATTGCACTAATCACAGATCGGAGAAGCCTGGACGCCTCCCCCACCCCCACCTCCCCTCAGCCACCAGGCTGGAACCGTCTCTCCTCCTCCTCCTTCCCCCCACCCCCAGACTCCTTTGGGATCCTCAGTCTTCCTTCCTACACCCCAATTGACCCAACCCTGGGGAGGGGCTAAGTGCCTCGTGGCTCTCTAGGACAGAGAATCAGCTCGGACTCTGGAAAGCAGTTTGGTCAGCAGGGGGCTGGGGTCAGGGACCTGTGCCATTGCTCACCGAGGTCTGCTGGGCCTAGCCCTGGGGCCTGCAGCAGCGTCCCCAAGTGTGTTGCTTTTGGGAGGATACAGTGCACATTCGATTACAGGCTCTGGTAGGCCACTTTCCTTTGACTCACAGCTTAGAAAGAAACCATTTTTACGGAATTCCTTTATCACGCAAACCTTTTTTCCACTCCAAACAACAACATTTTCAAGACTCTGGCCTCCTTTATTTTTTAAGGCTTTGTCACCCAGTTGGGAGTGCAGTGATGCAATCACAGCTCACTGCTGCAGCCAGGACCACCCAGGCCCAAGCAGTCCTCCCGCCTCAGCCTCCCAAGTAGCTGTGACTACAGGCATGCCCCACACTTGCTCGTTTTTTTGTGTATTTTTTTTAGAGATGGGGCCTCACCATGTTGCCCAGACTGGTCTAGAACTTCTGAGTTCAAGCGATCTGCCAGCCTCAGCCTCCCAAAGTGCTGGGATTATAGGTGTGAGCCACTACACCCAGCCAAGACTCCATCATTCCGCAGAAGAGTTAGTCGCTACCAGCAGCCTGCAGCTGGAAGTACGTAGGACCAAAAGCCACGCTAAGCAGACAAGAAGGTGGTGGGTGAGTTGGCTGGGAGAAAAAGCCCAGGGTTGGGCTTAAGGCTTATCCCCCTTCACACCATCCTCACTGAGCTGCCGGGGTAGGAGGGGCCCTCAGAGATTGCAGCAGCCTTGGGGGCCCTGTGGGTCAGGGCTCAAGGCCCTGAGACATCCATGCTGCTGTCCTGAAACCTCCCTCGTTCTTGTTTTCCTCAACTCAACCCACATTGTGGGGCCTCTGTGGCATGACCCAAAAGATGCGGAATCCCCCACAGAGAGTGGGGACTCTGGAGAACCAGGCCAGGCATCAACACCACGGGATACTATTTATCTGAGAAATAGGAGTTTGAGATAGCTCTTAAAGGAACCATTTCTGAAACAGTTGGACAAAGGTTACCAGCAGTAAATCGGTTTCCTGGAGGTGTAATCCTCTAGTAGCTAGTAAAACCTTTGCTGAGTGCTGTGGGCTGTTTATTGGAAGAAGAAGCAGGTAGTAAATGCCCAGCAGGAGAGGCCTGCCCAAGAAAATTAGAAGGAGGAAAAAGAAGGAAGGGAGGGAGGGAGAAGGAAGGAGAGGGAAGAGAAGAGGAAAGAAGAAAGAAAGGGAGGAAGAGGCTGAGCAGTAGTGGCTCACACCTATAATTCCAGCACTTTGGGAGGCTGAGATGGGAGGATTGTTTGAGGCTAGGAGTTCAAGACCAGCCTGGTCAACATGGCAAGATCCCATCTCTTAAAAAGAAGAAAAAGAGGAAGGAAGGGAGGAGAAGGTTGGGAAAGGAAGAGAGAAAGGAAGGGAGGAAGAGTGACAATGGGATGCATTTCGGTGCAGAGAAGGAAGATAGCCAAGTCATTGAAAAGTATACCCTTGGGGAAGGCCGCAGCGACAGTGCCCAAGAGTTCAGAGTGTCCGGCCAAGCTCAGGTGCACTCAGCCCTGTATACCTTTGGCCATGGGCCTAATTTGCCCCACGGATGTGTGGCTCACATTGTTTGTTCTTGTTTTTAACAATTGACAGGCCAGGCATGGTGGCTTTCACCTGTAACCCTCAGCAGTCTGGGAGGCCAAGGCAGACAGATCACTTGAGTCCAGGAGTTTGAGACCAGCCTGGGCAACATGGTAAAACCCTGTCTCTACAGAAACAAAACAAAATATTCACCGGTTATGGTGGCACGCACCTGTAGTCACAGCTACTCAGGAGGCTGAGGTGGGAGAATCACCTGAGCCCAGGAGTTCGAGGCTGCAATAAGCTGTGATCACATCACTGCACTCCAGCCTGGGTAACAAAGTGAGACTCTGTCTCAAAACAAAAACAGTTGACATTCGAGGACAGCGCTGAAAAATGAAGGGTTGTTTTGTTTTTTTTTTTTTGGAGACGGAGTTTTTGTTCTTGTTACCCAGGCTGGAGTGCAATGGCGAGATCTTGGCTCACTGCAACCTCCTCCTCCTGGGTTCAGGCAATTCTCCTGCCTAAGCCTCCTGAGTAGCTGGGATTACAGGCACGCGCCACCATGCCCAGCTAATGTTTTGTATTTTTAGTAGAGACGGGGTTTCACCATGTTGACCAGGCTGGTCTCGATCTCTTGACCTTGTGATCCACCCGCCTCGGCCTCCCAAAGTGCTGGGATTACAGGCATGAGCCACCGCACCTGGTCAAAGGGGTTTTATATAAAAAGCAGACTTAGCTCCTCTTGAAAATCAGGTGTCTTGGTTTAGGTTACACCGGCAGCTGACACTGGGACAAAGGCAAACTGGTTTCCTTAGGATCTGCAGATGGCTGGGAGAGGGCGGAGAGGAGGCAGGCAGCCAGCACAACGGTGCCTCTGAGCCAGCCGCCACCTTGGGGAACTGGAGCCAAATCCCTCTGGGGACCAGGTGCAAAGCCCGAGCCTTAGATTCACTCCACCCTGGGGTGAGGGGAGGGAGTCTGAAGGCTCCTACATTAACCCCTGTCAGCCTGGGGCTCAGGCTGCTCTTGGAGAGTGTCAATTTCACAGCACGGCGCTAGCCGCCCCCCGCAGAACAGCATTCCCATACTCTAGAAAGAGCACAAAGATGCAGCGGTAAAGATACAGGTGGCTGAAGTTTCCAGAGCACAATGAAAGGTAAGGTATGGGGGATAGGATGGGGTCCGACAGCATGTGCACCTTGGAGTGCTCTCATTCCCACAGAAAAATAGGCTCTGGTGGGTGGCGGCAGCAGCCTCTTTAACGGGAGAAGGGCAGGGTCCCCACCTGCCCATCCCATCTCTCCAATACTGAAGCAGCAAATCCCCTTGCCATACCTCACAGCATTTGCACTGATGTTGAACTTCCAACACAATATTGTCTCTGTGAATTCACGTCTCTCTAACCTGAGAAAGCGGCAGGCCAAGAAGGCCATGGCTGCTGTGTTATTCACTGTGAAAGCTCCCCAGCCACTATAGGCATTGGAGTTCGCAGCCCTCACTTAAAGTTCTGGAATGCTAAGGTCTGGGCTGGCTTTCCTGACAACACCCACTCTGGGCTTCTTAATGCTTAGACCGGAGGAATGAGGTGCTCTCCCTGGTCCACACACAATGGAAATCAACACCCCCTGGCTATCTGTCACTGCGCCCACCTGGACTTCTCCCGCCTACCTGAGCAGGTGGCCAGAATAAACAGTGAGGAAGAGGACAGCTGCTTTTGCCCACCTTGAGGTGAGCAGGAACAGGCCCGAATCCAGTCCATGCCAGAGCTGCCGCCCTGGAATGTTCTCAGCTCATTTCTGCTTCAGTGCACACAGTGGGGCATGCTCCTCTGTGGGGCACACAGACCCCTTGGGCATGCTCTCACCATGATGAGCATGGCAATTCCCAGGGTCTGGGCTCAAATGCTGCTCCATTCTCTCCCACACAGGAAAGCTCTGAGGACACTATGTGTGCAAAGACCT